CCCAAATGCTATTCAGGGAATTGTGGGCACGCATGCAATGGATTGGAGGGTTAAATACTAGACTTGAGACAGCTCTGTTTCCTCTCGGGTGGAGGGGGTGAGGTCCTACACCAATCTCCTGTGCAGGGTTGATGCGCTGGGTTACAGCTCCCAGGCCAGGGAGAGAACCCAAGATCTGGGTTTCTGGCCTGGGTCTGGATGGATGGAGTTAGTTTTCTTCACAGCAGCCCATATGGTGCCGTTTTGGATTTGTGCCTAGAAGAGTGATGATAACACACCAGAGCTTTGGCTATCGCTGACCACGTTTGCAAGGTGTCAAGGCCTTCTCTGTTTCCCATTCTGCCCTACAAGGAGCAGGTTGGGGGTGTGCAAGAAGCCGGGAGGGGACATGAGCAGAACAGCCAGCCCCAACTGACCAAAGAGATATTCCATGCCCTATAACCTCATGCTAATCAATACCAACAGTGGGAAAGGGGGTTTGGGACAGGCAGCCATTGCTCGGGGTCTGGCTGGGTATCCCTGTTCTTCTGGGAGGTAGTGAGTGATTGTCTTTGCATCACTTATTTAGGTTGTTTTTTGCTCTTCCTCCTTCCATTACTTATTTAACTTTTTTTATCTCAACCCATGAGTTTTCTCACTTTTGCTCTTCTTATTCTTTATTCCCGTCCTGCTGGGGGTGGGGGGAGCGCGTGGCTGTGTGGGGCTGGTCTGCCAGCCAGGGCCAGCCCACCACAGCTCCCCAGGCCCTCCTCATCTCTAATCCAAGCAACAACCCCCACCTCGGAGCTGGCACCCAAAGATTCCTTTCTGCAGCCTGGTATTTGATGAAAGTTGACCTTGAGCTCATCCTGCCCTGCACCCTGGCTCAACACCGCCTTTCTCCCCTGCTAGGACCCATCAGATCTCCTGTCCTTCCTAATTCTGTGAGGACTCCAGCAGCCCCATTTCTTTCAGTTTCAAGATACCATTTCCCAGGGCTGATATCAATAAACCGCTTGGCGGTCACCAAACCGCTTCTAACAGAAGAAATAATCTCATGCAACATATGTTGCAAGTAGCTAAAAGATAAGTTCAGGGACATGTTGAGTTTTCTAGATATTTTTTTCGATGGGTGACCTCATTGGCATGTGAAATTGTTTCACGGGTTTTCTCCATGATTGGTCTAGGTTTTCCATGCCACGGTGGCACAGAAAGGAACTATGACCTGTATGAATCCATCGTGTTGTGGAGGGGCTGCCGTCTTGACTGATGGCCAAGAGGGGCAGGACTTCATAGGGCAGTGGCTGTGTAAGTGACTGCTTTTCTCTCTTTTTTGCAGTCTCCTCTCTCTTGTCGTCTCAATGCAACTTTCTGGCAGCTTTCCTCCAGCTGCTACCATTGGCTGTGTCCTTTGCAGGTAAGCGCAGCTTGACCTCTCACAAGATGCTCTCCAGCCGAACAGAGCCTTTGTCAATGAGGCGAGGTTGAGCCATGTTTTGTAAAATGGAGGGAAAAGGGGTGTCTCACTTTCCTTTTCCTCTCTGAAAGTTCCCTCCCATCCTCCAAATCCTTTCTTTCATCCTCAGACCTTCTGCCAGTCCCTATACTCTCCGCAGACCCCAGACATGATGTCTATTATGAAGGGGAACGTGTCACTATGACATGCTCTGCCCCAACAATGAGGAAAATAGGTGGATTTCGTTTCTTCAATCAAACTGGGGAGCAAATTGACCTGCAAACACCTTACTCCCTCGCAACTGCCTGGCTCCACCTTACAGCTACAAAAGCATCTTCTGGGGAGTACACGTGCATGTACTTTCTGAAGGAGTCCGGACAAGAAATTCCTTCCAACAGGAGCCTTCCTCTTTCACTTAAGGTTCAGGGTAGGTTCGTCTTGTCTATATGGCTTGGGTACCATCGGCCCAGACACTGCACACCTCCCTTTAGAGCATCATCTTGTCCGATGGCCCTATCATTTGGTTGCCAATGCACAAATGAAGTTGCTCTGGCCTCTCACAAGCTCCTTTTGTGCTCCTGGATTTCTCTGAGAAAGCAGGAATAAGTTGGCCAGACAGCTGTGTCACCTCCAAGAGGTCGTACAGCAGTAAGCCTCCCCAAGGCTTTCGTTAGGGCTTGGGGCGTATTACATGCCTTCCTACTTTGGACACGTAAAAATACTTATTTTTTTGAAAACAAAGAAACTGCTTAAGCTGCTTTGAGTTTTTATCTCTGAGAACCATGGGTCTTTTTTCCCACATCGAGACATTGGGAAAGATCATGGGGTTTGCGCACAGGCCCTGACGTCAACAGATAGCCTATTGCTTGGGTTTTTTATTGTTTGTTTTTTCCCCAGCTGCTCCCACGGCCCCAACTTTATCCCTGGATCCTCAGCAGCAGGTCTATAGACCTGGGAACCACGTCAACCTAGTCTGCTCCTTCCCCTCATCTTCAGATGACGTTAAACAAGTCCAGTACTATGCAGACACTGGATTTGCAGTCTCCGTCCGAGTATCGAACGTGAAGAACCACAGCTTCAACCTCAGGATCACAGGAGACATGGTCTCTGGGTCTTACAGTTGTGCCTATTTTGTAAATAAGGCTACATGTCCCATTCGCTCAGAATTGAGCCCCAGTGTCATTGTCTATGTAAAAAGTGAGTTTTCAAACCCTTCCTCACTAGAGCATCTAGTAACTACTGACCCATCATTAGTTAATTCATTACCCGTTTGCTTGCCTATGAACTCATCCATGAGTCTCATCTCTATCCCTTCCTGTCCTGTGAGCATTCGACTCTCTGCCTCAGACTCTCTATCCATCATTATATGAGTTCATTCCATACCTGCCCATGTTTTTATGGACAAAAATAAGGAGGGATACTGGAGAAAAAGATCTCATAGAGAAAACTGCCTCATCACCTCGTCTGGCTTTTTTTGTGTGGGGGGAAGGTTGCACCATGGTAAAGTCACCATTGATTCCTTCCCAGGCCATAAAATCAGCTGGATTCAAGAAATCATTGTTGGGGGTTCATTCTTTACCATCAATGGCTTCATCTTTTTCTTCTCCCACTGCCTGATGAAGAGAAGAGGTAAATATTTCACTTCCATTAGTCCACACTAATTCTTAGAATCCTGGGACTTCATTTTCTTTGCCAGAAAATGACCAGGTTTGACTGTTATTCCACCGTCCTTTCCAAAGAAAAAAAAGGAACCAAACATTTTGTTCAAAGCTATTTTGGGAGGTTGTTCTGTATAGAGAATTTGAACAGGATTGCTCCTTACCCTCCTCCCTCTTTTGATCCCCAAATTTATCTGCATATTGAGGTCCAAGACTGAAGAGAAGCCATTTCCAATGCTGCTGCTTCTCTCTTTTGCAGATCTGGAGGAGGGATTCCAGATGGACTACGAAGAGGCATGAGAAGAACTATCCCGTAAAGGTTTTCTCCATTAGCTAAGGATTCTCTCGGGCCATGCCTGATTCCTCGTTGTCTGCCTCAGAGTCCCCGAGAGGCAGAAATGGTGCGTGTTCAACCGGCATTGCTTTGGCTGCTCCGTTCTTCTGCGCAGACCCTCGTGCCTTCCAAGCTGCCTCAGGTCCGTTCAAATAAAGCTGGATGTCGTGTTTGGGTCTTGTGGGTTTCATGGAAAGACACATGTTTCCACGCTCCTTCCCAAAGTGTGTGCTCGTGTTTGTGCCTTGTGTGTGCGCCTCTGCTCCATCTCACCCGTAATCCCACCATGTTCCCTTCACACCTGGTTCTTTCTTGCATCTGAAATTCAGCCCCCTTTGGGGGACCTCTGCACCTTGGGCTTTAATCTCTGGACTGTGTGGTCTGCTGGAAGGATAAGGGGTCAGGCAGGAGCACACGTGCCCAGATCAGCTCCTCACCCCTCTGGCTTGCCTGCTTTGGCTGTCCAGGTCCAATAAATACATCTAACATCTGTACGGTTGATATGTTCTGGCTTGCATCTGTAGGGGGCTGACGTCGTGGGGAGAGAAACACGGGTGGGAGGGTGACAAGGGGTCACCTTTACAAGGTAAACCACTCGGGGCGTCAGACTTTTTCACCCAACATCCACTCTCAAAGAAGAGTAGACAGCCCGACCCAGCGCAGGGGCATTGCAGAACCCAAAAGAACCACGCTTTTGGGCCAAAGGATGGGAAATGAGTGAGAGCTCCGCAGCCTGCCGGCGCAAGACTGCTCCAGGCTGCTGATATCCCCTCCCAGCGCTGGCTTACACCACGCCGTGGCTGCCAGCCCAGATGGTGTTAAAATATGCTATTTTCAGCCCACTTGATGCTTGTTTCATTTTAAATCAATCCACGTGATTTCCCTGAAATATTTCTCCACCGCCATGACTTCAAAATGAAGATGGAACCTAAATGTGGGCAGATTTATTGCCCCATATACCCGCAGTTCACGCTAATATTTTTATAAAACACAGTAAGCAGGACATCAGCCAGAACTTCAACTTAGAGAAATCACCTCATTTCACATTCATATTTTCATTTTGAAAGACCAAGTCATATTGAAGTGCCATAACGTTTAAAAACCAACAAATTCCACTTTACAAGGACAGCGTGTAGCTAGCCGGGATCAGCACTAAACCACGGCTCCTTTCTGCACATAATAACTTAATACAAACTGACTGTACACATTTATAGTGCCAAGTATTTTAAGAAGTCAAAGAGACAGAAGGAGAAGGGAAAAACAATTTGTGAAGATGAGAAAGTTCAGCTCTACGGCCAGCAGTATTTGCAGGCATTTTATCTCCATTGTAATGTGTAGTCTTTGCCTAATTCAAGTTCAAGGCGAGTGATTTCCAGGACCTTTGAAAAACAAACAAAAAAAAGCAATGAGTAACTTTGCTCTGAAGGTGACTTGGTTTTCTGCAGCTCATAGAAGACAGCAGGTTCTTATTTCAGATTACCTTCTTAATTCATCTTTTTGGTTATTTATATATTATATTATCTTATATTATATTATTTATGCTACTATAGATTTTACATAATATATTTCTAGTATATATAATATTTTAATATAATAATTACATATTTTAATATATTAATACATTATCTTTGGCCTTCCACTGAAAGACAGAAAGAAATGAGACTCAACAGAACACTGAGTTTTGTAGAAAGGGCGGTAAATTAAATTAAACATCAACTGATTTTAGCCTGTGGCTCTCACTGAGCAGTGCGACCACAGCTTGTGATAAGACTTCATTAATTCTGTAGGAAAAAAAAAAATTGTTGCAAAAGTACCCTGAGTTCTTACTTCTCAGATGTCAGTGGTTTTACTGCAGTAAAGAAATATATTGTAGCAATTATATTACAGCCAAGAGGTGAATCCCCAAGTGTTTAAGAGCACATAACTAATTGCAAAGCTAGGATTTCCCCATAAACCATCGATTTACCTGGTTTTGGCTGTTGTAGGACACAACATGAGGAGACTGGATTGCTTCACCATTCTGCAATACCGTCACCGCCCGAACGTTTGAGGTCACCCCCAAAACTTTAATTTGAGTAAACTTCAAATTATTTGGGTCGGTGTAACCACGGTGCAAAACCTTTATCTCTAAAATGGTCTGAAAGAAGAGGAAAATGAAAATCAGTGATTTATCCTTGGGTGGTTACATGTTAAAATATGCTATTTTCAGCCCACTTGATGCTTACAGTTGTTTCCTTTTGTTCAGTTAAAAAATAACAACAAAACCTCTATGTTGTTATTTATTTTCCAAACATTGGAGGCTTTGATTTTCCCAGTTCCTCCACCTTTGCAGACCTATTGCAGACTTCTCTGCTACCAATGAGGTGCTGAATATTAAACAAATTTGTCCTGATGTGAATTTTGCAGCATAAGAAAGGATTAAAACAATGAGTTTTCATAATTCTGACTTTTTTTTCTTATTTTGCTGTAATTCTCTGAAGTTTCTCAAACTACTTTATTCAGCGGAAAGATTTCTGTGCATCCACAGGTTATTGCTCAAGTCCTGTAGGCATTTTGCTAATTTTGCTGATTTTCTTTTAAATCCCCCTTTACGATGGCAAAAAATGCTTCGGATGGATTGCAAAACTCTTCATTCCAGATCTAACAAAATAGGAGTATGAATCAAGGAGGGGGAGCATTTCTTGGACCAGCTGACTTGATTTTAGGTAGATAATGGGTTCACAATTTCTTTAGTTTGTCCCAATTCTACCAAGTCTCCAGGCAGAGAGTATTAAGCTGCCCAGAGACGGTGCTTGCTGGGTCAGATCCCAGATCTGCTTCCATGCAAAACTGCTGGGATATAATTATACAAATATAATGTAATTATATAACTACATTATTTTATTGCATTCTTCATTATTGGTTTATTTAAGACTGCTTTAATTAAGCTTTTCCTTACCAGCTGTCTGTAAGAGCAGGAAAATGTGCATTTACTATGTAGTCTTACAACTGAAAATTGCAAAAAAACCCTTTTTTCCCTTAGCAGTTAACATCCAATTACTTGACAAAGTCAAAATGAATGAGAAATAAGAGCACTGAGAAGAAAACAATAACACATTTTGGCTACCTGGAAAACTAATGAAACAACACACTTTTTTATTACAATATAAAAAAAACCATTTCTTTTAAATAGATAGTCCATATAATTACCATCTAATTTAATTCCAGCTCTTCAACTGCTTAAAACAAAAAATTTAAAGCTGACGTGCTGGAAATGCCAATAATTACAACACGCACTACTGATCGCTGACTTTCTTACACAGTAACTGCTCCATGGTCCATCTTCTGTGTTAAAGAATAATGATAAAAATTAAGAATAATGATAAAAAATAGCCACAAACTGAGTCAGTGACTCCACTCCAGCCTCTGTTCAAAGGACCTTTAAACAATTAACAATTTTTAACAATAATTAAACAAAATTAAACAGGTTTGCCCAACTAGCTTTTCTCTGCTTTTCCGTCAGGTTCCTAACATGGATATTTGATAGTGGTAGCAGAAAATATTGTCCTCTAGTGCAGTGCTGGCAAGAAAATCCATTGGGGTGTAGGAAGAAAATATTTCTGTACTATTAATACACAAAATTAAAAATATTTGTATAACAACATCTCTTTCATCTTTATCCTCCTTTTTTAATTTCCATTTTTGTGTATGGTTTATAATGCACATAATAGTACAGTAGCACAGGTATGTAACTTATAAATAAATATGCGTATGTTGGGGGGGGGTGTGTGCTCGAAAATTTTTACTGCTAGGGATGCGTGGTCGAAAAGATTTGAAGACCATGGCTCTACTGGATGCTCACACATTTATAAATCATTTGAAAGCACTTTCCTGGATCTAACTGTGACTATATTCCAGATTGGATATATTTATTTTGTATATAGTCACTTCTTTCTAGTCTGTCCAAGTAAATTTGTGTTATATATAGATATGTAACTGCAAGGCTATAAAATACGCACAAGCTGATTAGCTAAAATTTATTAGCAGCTATGTAAATTAATACATGATCCACAGAAGTGATGGGAAACACACACCTGATAAAATATGAGCCTTATTGGATTTCTGCATTGATATGTGCTTTCATTCTCTTCAAATCCTTTTTTAAATAGACTGGCATTTTCAGAATTATAAGAAATTATGATGTCATGAATATACAACAAATACAGCAATAAGCAAAAATAGGCATCTTCTGAATCCAGGTTAAATTTATTCTTAACACTATTTAATTATATTAATTGCATTATATTAGACCCTGGACACAAAACACTCCTAAGTTCCTTCATATATAGAAGGCGAATTTGCAAATGGATATGTCTGGGATTTTTTGCTGTTAAAACCT